GATGAGGGTCCTCTATTGGTTGTGCGCAGGGCTTGCTATACACCTCGAGAGGTTGAAGGGAATGGGTGGTTACGAAACATCTTCCAATTCACGTGTACCATTAGTGGGAAGGTGTGCAAGTTCGTAATTGATTCCGGAAGTTGTGAGAATGTCATTGCGGAGGACGCTGTAGCAAAGTTGGGAATAAGTACAAGCCAACATCCCAACCCCTACAAACTGTCATGGCTTCAAAAAGGCAAGGAGGTAACAGTTTCCAAGCGTTGTTTAGTCCCCTTATCTATTGGTTCTAATTACAGGGACAAGGTATGGTGTGATGTGGTTCAGATGGATGCTTGCCATATTTTATTAGGAAGGCCTTGGCAATTTGACCGCGACGTATTGCACGATGGACGAAAGAACACTTACTCCTTTGTATTTAACAAGATCCGCATTGTTCTTGAACCTCATAGAGAAGAAGCACCAAAGCTAGCCACTGAGAAGAGTTCTAGCTTATTGTCTATGCACCGGTTCTTGGAGGAGGTGGTTGAAACGGGAATGGTGTTCGTACTAGTAGGAAAAGACAATGTTATAGAGAGTAAGATCCCTGAGCCTGTGAAGGCTCTAATTGCAGAGTTCCATGATGTATTTCCCAAGGAGTTACCCCCAATGTTACCATCCATGCGAGACATACAACATCAAATTGATTTACTTCCAGGATCAAATTTGCCAAATAGACCCCACTACCGCATGAGTCCAAAAGAGCATGAGGAACTTCGCCGACAAGTGGAGGAATTGTTAGCCAAAGGACACATCCGAGAAAGCCTCAGTCCATGTGCCGTTCCTGCACTATTGACCCCCAAGAAAGATGGCTCGTGGCGCATGTGCGTCGATAGTCGAGCAATTAATAAGATCACCATCCGTTATAGGTTCCCCATACCTCGGTTGGATGACTTATTAGATCAGTTAAGTGGAGCAACCGTGTTTAGCAAATTGGATCTGAAAAGTGGTTACCACCAGATTCGGATTCGGGAATGTGATGAATGGAAGACAGCCTTCAAAACTCGAGAGGGGCTTTGCGAGTGGCTAGTCATGCCATTTGGTTTATCAAACGCTCCCAGTACTTTTATGCGTGTGATGAACCAACTATTTCGGCCTTTTATCGGGAAGTTTGTTATTGTTTATTTTGATGATATTTTGGTTTATAGCGCTAATAATGAATTGCACCTTCAACACTTGCGCCAGGTTCTGTCAGTACTGCAGGAAGCAAAATTTTATGTTGGCACCAACAAGTGTTCCTTCTTAACCGATACTGTTGTGTTCCTCGGTTATGTCGTATCTAAAGATGGCCTCTCTGTGGATGAAAGCAAGGTAAATGCAGTTCGTGACTGGCCAGTACCAAAAAACATTTACGACGTACGAAGCTTTCATGGGTTGGCTTTGTTCTATCGGCGGTTCATTCCCAATTTTAGTAGCATTATGGCACCAATTACGGACTGCATGAAAGCTGGCCAATTCTGTTGGACAGAGGCAGCGACAGAAGCATTCCAACAACTCAAACAAAAATTGACTTCAGCACCAGTCCTCATATTACCAAATTTTGCTAAAACCTTTGAGCTATACTGTGATGCATCTAAAGTGGGCATTGGGGCTGTTTTGAGCCAAGGGGGTCGTCCAATTGCATATTTCAGTGAGAAGCTTAGCGGTTCCAAAGGCAACTACAGCACTTATGATGTGGAATTTTATTCCATTGTCCAATCCCTGAAACATTGGTATCCTTATCTGTCCCAAAGTGAATTCATTTTATTTTCTGACCATGATGCGTTGAAGCACATCAACAGCCAAGACAAACTTTCTTCAAGGCACGCCAATTGGGCAGCATATCTACAGCAATTCACCTTTGTGATTAAACATAAATCAGGGGCCTTGAACAAAGTGGCTGATGCACTTAGCCGCCGTTCTTTTCTACTTACTACTATGAGAAATACGGTACTTGGATTCGATTCCTTTCAAGAACTATTGTCTGTTGATCCCTATTTCTCTTGTATTATGGCGGAAGTTAAATCAGGTCAGAGGTCGGACTTTCTTCTCCATGACGGATTCCTCTTCAAAGGCAACCAATTGTGTGTGCCTGCATCAAGTCTTCGATTGAGAATTATCAAGGAGTTGCATGAAGAAGGCCATGTTGGGCGTGACAAAACTTTGCAGCTTGTGACTAGTTCTTACTTTTGGCCTTCTATGAGGAAAGAAATTTTCAAACTTGTGGACGGGTGTCGCATCTGCCAAGTATCCAAAGGATCCGCGACCAATGCAGGCTTATACATGCCGTTACCCGTGCCCAACCAGCCATGGACTGACGTTAGTATGGACTTTGTTTTGGGACTCCCGCGCACTCAGCGAGGTTGTGACTCCATCTACGTAGTCGTAGACAGGTTTTCAAAAATGGCCCATTTCATTGTGTGCAAAAAGACGACGGATGCTGTAAATGTGGCCCAACTATATTTTCGAGAAATCTATCGTTTGCATGGGCTCCCTCAGTCCATTGTATCTGACAGGGACACCCGATTTCTTAGTCATTTTTGGAGATGTCTGTGGCGCTTGGCTAACACAAAGCTTGATTTCAGTAGCGCCTATCACCCTCAAACAGATGGACAGACCGAAGTTGTCAATCGTTCTTTGGGCAACATGTTACGATGTTTAGTAACGGATCATTTGAAATCATGGGATCACAAATTGCACCAAGCAGAGTTTGCTTACAATCGCTCTATAAATCGAAGTTCGGGTTTTAGTCCCTTCTATGTCAATTATGGCTACCAACCTCGGGCCCCGCTGGATTTAGTACCTGTGCCAGACTTAAAGCACATAAATGGGAAGGCAGAAGAGTTGATTCACAACCTTCAGGAGGTGCACAAATTAACCCAGTCCAACTTACAACAATCAGTCGCCAAGTATAAATTAACAGCCGACAAGAAACGTCGATTGGTCGAATTTGAAGTTGGCGACTTAGTATGGGCTGTTCTTACAAAAGACAAGTTTTCAGCCGGTGAATATAACAAGTTGGCAGCACGAAAAATTGGGCCCCTTGCAATTTTGGAGAAAATCAATTCAAATGCCTACCGTTTGCAGTTGCCTAGTCATATTCGTACTTCCGATGTGTTCAACGTTCGATACCTCATTCCTTATCACGGTGACCACACCACCAACGAGGTTGCGAATTCGATGGCGAATTCTCTCCATCCAGGGAAGGAATGATGCAGCCAGCACATCGCCAGCCCAGCAAGCAGCAAGCAATTCGTGACCAGCACAACAAGCAATGGCTTTAGTTGCCATTATTTTATTATTATGTTCACTTTTGGCAATTGCCTTATTATTTGTCTTATGTTAGCTTTTCCTTGTTGCCTTAGTTTATTATATTGTTTTTCCTTGTTGCCTTAGTTTATTATATTTTATTCGTTGCCTTAGTCTATTTCCAAACCTGTGTGTTACTTCGTGGAGTTAGCTTTGTGGAGTTAGCCTCTGTTTTTCTTATAAATAGTGGGTGTAAAGCCTTAGGGCTCTAGAGTTTTTTGATGATTAATATATTTTGAGTTTTATTACTCTTTGTTCCAACTTTGGTTAATTCTGTGTGAATCAACTTTGGTTGAGCCTTTAAACTCGGTATTCTTGAGGAATCAACGGGTCTAAAGAGGAGTCTTATTTCCGGTATTCTTGTGTGAATCAACGGATCTTAAGATTGTTACTATTGTTTCGATCAACACTGCATCAGATATGTGCAGTCCGTACTGTAGACCAGATCAAAGAATTGAATGGCTCAAGATTTCAAACCTTTTGAGCAGTTAAAGTGTCATGCTCAAGAGTTATGTGAGAGGACATCAGGTGACAAATGAACTAAGTTGTTTTTGAGCAGCTCGTGTTCGACACGTTTGGACTCATTCGAGCTTGGCTTGTAAAATGTATCAAGCTTAGCCCATGTAAAACTTGTGAGATTGTTTAGCCAACTTTGATTTTGATTACGATTAAACATGGTTTAGGGCATCATTGAGCATGGCGGTTCTGTAAATGGGGGTTTTGCCGTGAAATTGTTGGATCATGTTAACTCATTAAAAGATGCAGTGACCTAATACTCGGAGGTCATCAACCAATAGAATCGTTTCATTGTAATATGGTCAGGCACCTAGGCAGCTCTGTATACTTTGTAGTTGAACCAGAAAAATGCTATTGGATGTCAGATTGATGGAGAAAAATGAGGTTTTAAATGTCAAGACAAGTTTACATAAGGGCCCTATGAAATCTTCAACCAATCCTACTAGAATTAAATTTCTTTTTACTGTCCAAACAAGTCAAATATGTTTACTTAAATTTTTGAACAAGACAAATGATGGGACTTAAGGCTTAGTTTAGTAATATTAGCTTTAGAAGTTAAAGTTCTTAACTTCTAAATTTGGAGTTGTAGCCCTTTTAGAATTAGGAATCCACACAAATCAAAATAAGGCTACATAATTCTTCAAATTCAATGAAGAACAAATTTAGAGAATTTTAAAAAACTTGTTCTGTGGATTGTGTAATGCAACCTTAACCTAGGTGTAATGCCTATGAGAATCTAAGTTTGAAGCTTAGAGTTTCTTCTTCTTCATCCTCTTGTAAATTTGTGAGCTTTTTAAACCGTTCCAGAACCCAGATCTGAACAATCTCTATTTCACCACCATTAAACTCCATTAAGCAAGGCTAATGCGTTCTTCCTTCACTCCAACTATAACACACTGAACATAAGAAACCCAACCCATAGTTACTGTTCACAGTATTGCTCACGGCCTCCAGACAACCTCTAACCTTCTCCTATTCTTGCCCAATAACCACTACAGGAAAAATGGCCTACTGCGACGTTTTTTTTATGGCATTTTGGGAAACGCCATTATAGATGAATTAAAGACAATGTTTTCAAAACTTTGTCTTTGATCTCAGTTGAACGGCGTCGTATTGGGTGTATATATTGACACCGTCCATTCTCCGTCTCACTTTCTGTCTCTCACTTTCTCTGTGTGTGTGTGTGTGTGTCTCTCTCTCTCTCTCTCTTCCAAAGCCCTCGACTGATCTTCATCGAACTAGATCAAAGACACATTCTCTCTCTCTCTCTCTCTCGCTCGATTGCAGATTTTGCATTGTATATTCGTCGAACTCTCTGTTGCTCTTCATCGATCTGTCGCTGGAGGACTTTGATCAGTCTCTTCATCAAACTCGAACTCATACTCGATCTGTTCTTCATCAAATCGCAGATAATCGATATCATTCTCGAACTAGATCGATCTCTGTTGCTCTTATCTCAGGTACATTTTTCATTCTCTTAATCGGTGTTCGAGTTTGAACCAGATCGATCTCTATTGCTCTACTTTCTCATTGTCAAATCTGCTGATTAACTCTCTAATTTTTTCATTCTCAGATTAGATCGTTGAACCAGATCGATCAAATCTGCTAGTAGTTTTGTTTGTTTTTCATTACTTTCTTTGTTTTTCAAATCAATTAACTCTCTAATTTGCAAGACAGTTTGGGATTAGATAGCTCATACTATAGGTGGTCTCATGATCTCAGAATGACAATGTATGAGAGTATTTGGATGTTTGCAATTGATTATCTGTTTGGCAAGTGTGCTTGGTCTATATTTTTTGTGCTTATAATTTTCATTAGATTGTTCATTAGAGAATCTTCATCTTTGTGCTTATAATTTTGTGTTCGAGTTTGGTGTTTTATTACATCTTATCCAGTAATATTCTGCTTTTAGATCATAATTAATTTAATTTATTGTATAACAAAATATTCTATTTGAGGTGCAATAATTGATATACTGCTTTGACAGATAATTTCCTATAAAAGTTCTTGACTAAGCTTTTATTGTTATTCCATGGCCCAAATTCTTGTTTATCTATTTAATCCAAGTATATGATTAATAAATGTGGTGCATCTTTTTATGTAACCAAGTACAATGTTGATGGTATTGTGGTACTATAGGTTTTCTAGACTCTTATTATTGACTCAAAATATCCATCCATGTGTTGGCATTCAGCCTACTAAGAAAACTACATTTTCTCCCTCTTTAGTGGATCACCATCTAAGAGTTAAATTGTTGACTGTTTCTGTTTATGCAATGATTTTAATATGCCATTTGTTTCTGGTTGTCTAATGTTTCTAATGATGTCCTGATGATGATCACATATTATCAATTATCCAAAAAATTTCTTCACCAATCCTCTAAGCATGATTTTTAATGATTGTGTTATGTAACAGGTTTTAGGTGAAAAAGAAGCAATTTTTCATGCTCAGATTAGATCAGATCAGATTGTTGAACAAGATCGATCTCTCTCGCTCTTCATCTCAGGTACATTTTTCAAAGCAATTAATTCTTTGGTAGTTTTGTTTGTTTTTCAAATCAATTAACTCTCTAATTTAAGATTTTGTAGATTTGTTTGTTTTTCATTACTTTTGAGAGTGGGTGGTAATTGATTTGCAAGACAGTTTGGGATTAGATAGCTCATACTATAGATGGTCTCATGATCTCAGAGTGACAATGTATGAGAGTATTTAGATGTTTGCAATTAATTATCTGTTTGGCAAGTGTGCTTGGTCTATATTTTTTGTGCTTATAATTTTCAATAGAATCTTCATTAGAGAATCTTCATCTTTGATGGATTAGCATGAAACATTGTTCATCATGGAATATTTAAGAGCAGATTTGGGCATCCCCATTTCATCATTCTGATTGAGCATACTTTGTTCATCTTATTCATGTTATTTTTTCTTATCAAATGCAGGTTCACATATCAAAGAAAGGAAACAGGACAAATGCCAGTTAGAACTGTCCCTTTTTTATTTGATTCTACATCACATAGCTCTGCTGGTTGTTATCTAAATGCTGAAATTATTTTTATACTTGAAACATTCACAATACATTGTGATTTATGCATGTAGGTTCAAAAGAGGCTCTTAGAATTCATACTTGCTGCATTCCATCGATCTTCTGATTTTGTTGCACTTTTGAAGGTATTCTCTGGACCAAATTATGCCTAAGCTTTTCGGTTGCAAGTCAATTATGTTGGAGCTTTATTGCAAGTCAATTATTTTAATGGCTGTGAATGGTAAGACACCATTACAATTAATGGTAAGTGAAATAAATAAATAAACAAAATAGCAGTTCTCTCTCAGTCTTTCTCTCCTATACATTTTAACTCCAACCCAATTCAATCGGTGAATCTGTGTTTCTTTGTTATCTAATCTATGGATTTTCAACTGAGTCCTGGCTCCATCTCTCCACAACTCAAGGTAATTTCTTGCTTCTTTTTCAGTGCTCTAATCAAATATTTACATTTCTACCATGATCTCAGCTCTTTCTTTTTCTTTCCTTTTTTTTTGCAATCAGTAATATGTTAACTTGAGCTCAAATACACCTTTTTTTGGGTCATTATTACATTTGTGTAATTTTATCTGACATGTATGGTTATTTGGATTTGTGCCTTCTTTTTCTGCTTAATCTCTTTGATTTCTTTGGTTTTTGCGGTTAGTGATTATATTTTGTGTATAGAATAGTTAGTTGCCTTGCCTTTCATTACCCAGATTTCTTTCTAAACTAATAGGATTTGCTCTGAATCAGCTCAGGAGTTTTATGTTGTTTCCCCCTCGCCCAGGACCAAAACATGTACAGCCTTGGTGCAGGGGAAATTTCAGCCACAGTTGGACACCTGCTTCAAGATGCAATACTTATAAATACCATACTCAATAACTAATTATGTTGTACCAATAAAAGAATGGAAAGCAAGGTTTTAAATAACAGTGTCGCGATATGTATTGGTATTGGTGTTGCAGTCATGTATCGGCCAATATCAGACATTATCAACTGATATATTGATGAATAATGGTATCAAAAGTCCAAAATCCTAGGTACCCAACGATCAACACTATACATAACAGCTAATATTTAAAACCCTGGTGGAAAGTATACAGAAGATTTTTAAAAAATTAGAGAAAAAGGTTTTCTACAAGGTTAGAAGCAAGATCTGACCTTGGGAGTAATGAAAATTTTCCTCCCTGGTTTCTTTGCAAATAGATGTTTCATATTAATAATTTGATTTTTTTTTTTCAGACCATTGGTTAGAGGTCTTAACATAGTGAAGCTGTTGGCATTTTATGTATTCTCAAATCCCATCACCATGATATTTTTTACTCCATTCCCGACTTGCTGATGTGCAGGAGACTTGGTAGCATACAACCCTTCTGTCATTTCAAAGCCTTGGAGTAGTTTTTTGTTGTTTGAGTATTGCTCCCTTATTTGTATTTGGAACCATTGGCACAGAGACTATCGAATCCGTTGACAGGATACATGAGCTCTTTTCCTTTTGTGTTTTGGACTCTGACCATCATTCCTTTATTGAAGTATGCCTTAATAGTATTGAGGGCTGATTATGCTGGAGAGGGTAATCATGTTTCCTTTTGAACTAAAATATTATATTTTTCTTTTTGCTAAGTGAGCTACAGTATTTCGTTAATCAAATGGTATCTTGAAGCCTTATTATCTTTAATGAATTAATGCAGTTGCTGTTTTTGCATTATACTCCTTACTATGTAGGCATGCCAAAGTGGGTCTGCTTCCAAATGATAAAAATACCAATGACATTATGCGCTTTGAGGAGCAAACCCCTTCCAATATCGAGGTGGAATCAAGGGCTAGAAGGGCCATTGAAAAACATAAAAGTAGTCACTATTTGATGTTGGTCGTTGCTTCTTTCATGACAGTTGGTGATGGAATTCTTACACCAGCTTTATCTGGTTTGTTGTTCTGTATCATCTGCTTTATATAGACATTGATAACTTGATTTATTTTTCTTTTTCCATTGTATTACATATTATTATTTCCAAATTTTGCTGGAATTACTTGTTTCTCTATCCTTTTATGCTTCAGTACTGTCGGCTTCATCAGGCCTTGGAAGATCATTGGCAGATATTTCATATCAATGTAAGCATTAGTAATAGATGTGGATAAAGAACTACTTTTCTTTCACATAATTAGTGCTATAAAATTTCATCGTAAAGTTTAAATTTTTTTTTCAGTGGAATTGACTTGTTTTTTCGATGTTTGCCTACTAGATGTTTGTATTGATAATTTAATTGAAGAAGTGCCAAGAGGCACATGATCACTAGCTTTATACATTGCTTAAGCACAAATTTCACTGGATGGATTTTAGCCCAACTTTTTGAACTGGTTGGTCATTGCAGATGACCAGAAAAAAAAGGCAAAGAAATGGAAAATTTGGGGTCCTAGTTGCTTATAAATCTAGCAGTTTGGTTGCATAGAGCAAACATAAAACATGATATCCCAAATTGTGAATCTAGTTTCTAGCAGCAGCAGCGCAGAGAAATATCAGAGCCCAAAAAAAAAGAAAAAAGAAAAGGTGGCGTTTTTTGAAAAAACGCCATTAAATGACGTCATTGTACACATTAATTTCTTGCAGCAACAGGAGGACAAAAAATAAAAATAAAAAAGTGGCATTTTTTGAAAAAACGCCATTAAATGACGTCATTGTACACATTAATTTCTTGCAGCAACAGGAGGACAAAAAAAAAAGTGGCGTTTTTGGAAAAAACGTCACTAAATGACGTCATTGTGACATCACACGTTGACAAAAGGTGAGACGGATGTCAAAGATTTTGCGGCATTTTAAAAAACGCCGTCTAACATTTTTAGCGACGTTTTTCAAACGTTGGAAAGCTATTGCGGCGGCCGTATCCGCAACGAAAATATTAAACGTTGCTATAAGATATAACGGCGTTTTTCAAGGATTTTCGCAGCGTTTTAAGAACGCCGTTAAAAAGCAAATTTCCTGCAGTGAACAGTCCAAAACCCTACCCTTTAATCACCTAATACAAACCATAAAATAAGCCATATTTTTTACCAACTATTTAACCTCAGAAACAATCAGATGTAAATAAAACCCTTTTCCACTGCCCTATAGCAAATTTAGTGTTACGACTTGCAGGGAAACATTCACCACACAAATATTAGATGAAGAGCATTACAGAAAACAAGCCAATCAACAACACAACTATAAAAATTAAAAATAGTGATTACAAATTAAACATCAAACAAAACCAAACAAGTGAAGCAACATTCACTAAGGACACAAAATAATGAACCGGCACAATGCATCACAATCATGAAACTTAAGCCCCTTGTGCATAATGTCCTATTCGAAAATTCATAAGAAAATATTGGGATTGTGCATTATATATGCATTATATATCTATTCTCATTCAAACAGCAGTTTTTCTTGTACCACAAAACAGAAAACAATATATTAACTATGCCAAAATGAAAATAAATCTAAGTCAATGAGTAAATTATCTATCTATTCTCATTCACACATCCAATTTATCTATTCACATTCACACATCCAATTTTCGCACAAATCAAACACACATCAACACAAAATCAATTTTCACACAAATCAGACACACACCAACACAAATTCTTGAACTGTTTTATTCTTAATGAAAAGAGTTTCAATGAATTGATGAGCAGGGAGAAACAGACGATAGAAGGCCAGGGGGGAGCAGAGGAAAGCAAAGGAAGGCTATACCTGGATGCCGAAGGGTGAGAGCAGTGAGATTAGGTGAGATTAGGGTAGAGTATCGATGGGAGAGAGCAGTGAGATAGAGGAAGGGTTTTTTGTTTTTTTTTATCCCAACAGATTAAAGAGAGTTTGGAGATATCGGGAAAGAGGGAGAGTGGGAGAGGATTTTGGCGCGAATTTAGGAATAACTATTTGCAACGATATTAAGGCCCGTCGCGAGTGAATGAGAAAAAAAAAAGAAAAAAGAAAATTGCAACGGATTGCCAAAAGAGCGTCACAAAAAAAATTTAAACCAGAAAAATTTTGCAACGTTTAACGGGGGGGGAAAAGGGGGTCTAAAAAAAAAAAAAATTAAATCAGAAAAATTTTGCGACGTTTAACGTACGGTCGCATATAACCTTACTTTTTGCCACAGGTTTAGTTTTCCCGTCGCAACAAAAATAATTTTGCGACGTCATTAAGTGCCGTCACAAAAACCCATTTTTTGCGACGGCACTTAAACCGTCGCAAATAGTTCCGTGTCAAATGCTCCTTTTTCTAGTAGTGTTACTTTACACTTCCAGTTTTGGTGTTATATACTTAATACATCTGAGATAGATACTAAAAACTGATTTTGATGGCACCTTTTGTTTTTTTGTTTTTAGTGATCAATTTAGGCAAATAATGCATATATTTTCCCTGGATTTGGTTTGCGTTTGGTCATCTCTAGTACAATTCGTGTACACGATGAAATGCTTCTGGCAGCCTGTAAGTGCACTACACATTACATAATTAGATACATTATAAGTTGAATACAATTTATTTGCTAATTGAAGAGCAATGAATTCATTCCTTTATTTTATTTCATTTTACTTATGCTTTATTATTTTTTCCCTTTCCTCTGGTCACATATCTATGCAAGTCATAAATAATGAATAGACTCTTTAGAAAAAATTCTGAGATGTTTACTCAGATTCCAATAGAATGTAAACTCAAAAAACACCTTCTGTTTGTTTTATTCCCTTGATGTGTGATCTGGTTCTGTAAGGGCGATTTGCCATTAGCGTCCCTGGTGGCACAGGTTCAAGTCATTGAAACAGTATCTGTACATCTTGCTCTCTCTAGATATCCTTTTAATAGAAGTTTTTTACATTGGGTTGCCCATAATCATGTGTGAAGCACTATGGAAAATATAGCGATCCCGGGTTTACCCTTGTTATACGGTGATCCGGACATGTGTCCGTGGATGTTGGTAGTTGTTTATTATCTTGTTTACATCCTTTTTACTTAGTATTTGAGTTACGGGATGTGTTGGGCAGGTTTGTTACAGGTTGGTTGAGTTTAGAAACCAAAACTAGTTGCCCAGATTTTGACCTGTCCGCTCGAGCGGGGGTTTTGGCGCTCGAGCGGGAATTGCACCCATCCTGTATTTTCTGCGCAGTGTTGGACGCTCGAGCGTGGTATTGGCCGCTCGAGTGGGGTTGTGTGAGTTCCGCTTGAGCGGGGAGTTGGAAGCTCGAGCGATGGCCTGGTTCTGTAGAAGTTCTGGGAGTATGTATTCGCCGCTCGAGCGGGATTGTTGGCGCTCGAGCGTGAGTCTGTGAGTGACGCTCGAGCGTGGTGTTTGACGCTCGAGCGGGTCGACTGGGTTTAAGTTCCATGTTTTGACTTTTCAAATCACTTTTTCACTTTCTCTTCTCTCTCCTACTTTTCCAAAAACACCAATATATAATATAATATATATATATATATAATAAGAAAGAAAGAAAAGAAAGTAAGAATAAAAAAAAGAAAAAAATCGTTTTATCAACCCGGTGAACCGGAACCGGTTTGGCGGTTCGACCGCCGATTTTTCCAGTTCTCTCAAAATAGGCTGGTTTTCCACTATGACCGATTCAGTGGGTGTACCCGGACCGGAATCTCGACCGGTCGGCGGTTCAACCGATTGAACTGGCCGGTCCGGTCTGGTTTTTAAAACCATGCTATTAAATTGCAATTCTAGGCGACAAGCACGACAAATAAATAGAATGGTTCACCCTTGTATCTAAATCATCTAATTTCCTTTGTAACAGCAGAGGCTTTGGCTGAGCAAGTAACAAAAGAGAATTTGGACAAGAGTTTGATCTATCCACCATTCTCTAATATCAGAAAGATCTCTGGCCACATTGCTGCTAAAGCATATGAACTTGGTGAGTTAGTAAGTGTACCTCTGGTTGCTTCATGTGTCTTACCACCGCTGTAATTGCCCCTTGAAGCATGTTTATTTTTATGACTTTCACAATGTTTCATAGGCTTGGCAACGCGTCTCCCTCGGTGTGATAATCTGGTGAAGTACGCTGAAAGCTGCATGTATACTCCCAATTACAGAAGCTTCCGATGAATTGTTGAATTGTGAGCAGAAACTATGGCTAGTAGTTTTTTTTTTTTTTATCAGCAAAAAAGACTTTATTGATGGAAAAAATTTACATCAGTAAAGAGGAGCTTGGAGCTATAACAAGCTCCAACCTCCTAGTTGGAGAGAAACCAACGCTCAAAACAAAGGCAAAAACCAGAAAAATTAAATCAGACAGATCAGTCAGCCCTTCCAAGCACCAAACAGATACCAGCAAAATAGAACCTTTCATGCCAGTAATGGACCATTCCTCACAGCAGTAATGCACCAGCAATGAACCTTGCATGACAATAACTTCCATCAACCTCACTGAACCTTTCATGCCAGTTAAACTATGGCTAGTAGTTAATGTAGTGTGCTTCTTCAGAGTCTGTTATATATTCTTGTTTGGTGTCTCTCCTTTTCCCTCTACATTCCAATCATGGTGTTTCGAAACTTTTGTGGTGTTGTAAGCTTTAGAGTTTATATTAGAACCATGACAGTAAGAGTCGGGTTGGATGAAAGGTTGGTTTTAGTTGAAACATTATCAACTTCAGTCTCTACTCGCTACTCACTACCAGTTTAGTACTCTCTGTGAAGTCACAAAAGCTATGGAAATATGAAGAAATTCAGACTGACCTGTGAAGCATCCGATGCGATGATACTTGTAGAATCAACCACTTGCCTCAATTAAGGATTTGGAATGTCCGAGCTTGTCATTCTCAAGATGTATTACTAACTTTCATGCTAAGCTTCACTTGAATCGTATGATATAGAGAGTTCGAAACAGACGGATATGAGAGAGCGACAAAGTTCGAAACAGAAGGATATGAGAGAGTGACAGAGCTGGACAAAAGATTTTCAACCCAACTGCTATGTAATTGTAATAGAATATAGTGTTTTTTAATAAATCAATCCAAGTGTTCTTTGGCCCAAAAGCGAAATTCTATCTTCCCCATTGATCTATTTCTTTAGTTGTTGGTTCTTAGTGGCCAGTGTAGCAAATGAGCCGAGCTGTGCTCGTTTGTTTATCAAGCTCAAAAAAGAAAAGTTTAAGTTGAGCTTGAATATTTATGCTAATTATTGTGTGAGCTCAGTGCAGTTTCTTAATACTAATTATATTCAAGTTTGGTTTGAAATTTAATAATGAAGAAAAATACTAATTATGCTCGAGTTTGATAAACTCAATAATGAACGAGTTCAGTTTGAAACTTAATAATGAAGAAAAATACTAATTATGCTCAAGTTTGGTTTGAAACTCAATAATGAAGAAAAAAAATTGACTGGAACTCACTTATTAAACAAGCTCAAAAGATTGGTTTGACATTGTTTATATATGTAACAAACTTAGTAGAGCTGAGCTCTTACCGAGTTTATTAAACAAGTCTAAAAATTTAATTTCAACTTGCTTATATACCTAACAAACTGAGCAAGGTTGAACTTTTTATTCATAGTGTTACACCATGTAGACAACACAAGAGGGGGGAAATCGAGTTGATAAATATTACTTAAAATGAAATAATTCAATAAAATTAACTTGCTCAACTCAAGTAAAATAAAAGAATGAATATATAAAACATGAGCAATAATGTGTGTGAGCAAATCAAGTCAAAGCAAAACAGAGCCGAAAGTATAAATATAAAGGGGGGAGAGAGAGAGAGAGAAGGCAAACACAAGATTTATAGTGGTTCGGTTTCAACCCAAACCTACATCCATTCCTCAAAGCTCCCCCTCGAGTATTTCCACTATTTATCTAATAGATTTACACTAGCAAATTTACCGGGTACTTGCAAGACTTTTGCAACAAAAATTTTGTTCCAAAAATCCCAAAAAGCCAACCCACCAAAACAGCCCCTCTCTTGGTGTTACCAAGTCTCTCAGGTGTCTCTCTCAAACACTCACAATGAAGCTCATGGGTATAACAACCCTTCACAGATGATTTGTAGAAAAAAATGCGCAAAGCATTTTGTACAATAAACTCCTAAAGAATTGGATTTAAACAATTAAAGTTCATAGAGATGATATGAAAGTTACAGTATGAAATTATTGTATTTTCTCCTCTTTTGGAGATTGTCCCCTCTCTCACTTATAGATGAATGTAGATCTTCTATTTATAGTCCCTCATCTTCATTTGACCGTTGGAGAGCAAATATAGCCACTGGACTAGGAGAAATAGCCGTTGGAAAAATTCAAAACACACAATAACGATATGGTGAGCGCAAATGGGACAACGATGTGGTCCAATTCACATGAAGACAAGTCATATCCGAATAAAAATTATAAGAATAACCTATAAAACACATGATGGGATACAGTCACTTTATTTTTTATTTTTTGAAAAAATAATCATATGTGCCCTATTGTTATTAGGTGGTCACACCCCATATGGTTCAAGTAAAAATATCCTTAAATTATTTGAAGCTGCACGAAGTTAGGTGATTTTGATCTTTTCTTTATCATCAAAATGGCAAGGAAAAAAAAAAACTAGGATGTGCTAGTGTTGTTGAATCGAATTGAAATCTGAGAGCAAGGGTTAAAAAACAAAAAATGGAGAGAATTTGCGTAGCCTCTCAACTAGTGAATTTTTTTTTCATATTTCATTTTCGCCTAACTTTTGGATTGTGAGAACTGTCTTTTTATAAAATTCTGGGTTTTAATTGTTGCCTCTTGAAACTAGAGGGTTTTACTATTTAGAGTTGTAGCCCTTTTCATATTGGGCTCGGTTGTTTTTTGGGTAATCAAATACCCGACTTACCAAAAATCTAAAAACAATTTTTTTTTTTTTTTGGGTGTTAAAAGTGAATTGTTTTCAGAAAATTTTCACAAAAATCATTTCCAGCAATAAATAATTTGCAAAAATATTTATTTTGCATTTTCCAGAAAATGAAAATAAAAATAAAAATAAAAACATTATCAAACAGTAGTGCTACTTGTGGCAATTGCAACCATTAATCAAATGTCAAATGAATGGAACATATATACTAACCAAATATATATTTCCATAGTGAAAACTATTTTCTCCACAATACACAACATAACCTAATTATTTGCTTGGTGAACTCTTTCAAATGTAAATGTAGCATACAAAATAAAATCCTGCTAGTGATCCAAAAAAAAAAAAGATAAAATTTTAATATATTTCGCATATTCTCATACATGCTTCACATATATATATCAACATTACATTTGCAGCCAAAAAAAGATTACATGATATTTCTCCAATATTCAACTAAGTGAACTTGTTTCTATACAAACCACGGCAGGAAGGAGCTAACCTTTGTGTTCTACACTTGAAGCGAAAATCCCAGTAATATTGACAACAGAGTTTGGCGTATCATTTTTCGTATGACTCGAGAAAAACGCGAGTTTCCTTGTACCGCTGGAGCATGTAAGTTTCACATTTGATAGGAGGAAACCTGGTGGAAAAGAAGCATTAAAAAATAGAGAAGCTTCACAAAAACAAAGAAGTCGAGCATATCCTTTATGCATTTTTATTAATGCAAAAAGGTATTCAATTTTAATTAGACGCCAGCTCAGTTATCCAGGGAGCCTTTAAATGCATCCCAAAAATATTGTTGGACATCCCAAATTTAGTATTTTTTTTTTCAAATTTCACTTTATCCCCTTATAGTTTGAGGCCGGATCACGTTACCCACATGTGATTTAAATATAGGCATATTTGCCCCATTATAGTTTTGGACTAAATTGCAATCTAACATCTGTTAACATTAATCATCAAAAGACTATTTTACCCTTGTATGAAAAAAAAAAAAACCTAATCCCCTTTATCTCTGATATTATTCACTTCATTTTAAATTAATCACAAATTTTATTAATTAAACCATCTATATTTGAATCACGGACAGGTAAAGTGCCCCAAACTCAAACCACGAGTAAAATTGAATTTTCCCCCCTTTTTTAATACCGTTTTACCTCTATGTCAAATTACAAAAAAAGAGAACCCTAAACCAACGTCCGGCTAGACCCTCCCGTGTCCCCTAGCCCCCTACCCATCCTCGACCCGCCCTCGGCACCACCTTGATGGCTCATCTACTCCATCCCCTCTTTCCTTCCCCCACTTGAGCAACTCCCCCATGGCTCCTCCCTCTGTTGCCCACCTCCTGCCCATTTTCTCTATCTCTCCCTTGGCGATTGTGAGAACCCGAATATACAAATCAAGTAAAAACTTAAATAATAATAATTTCACAATCTCAAATATTTTGATGGTGAATCCTAAAGTGCAAATTAATTATTATTGAATGATCTTTTAATTAATTTTAAACCTTAAAAAAAAATTAGAGAAGAGGGTGTGACTTGAACTCTAAACCACAAGGTTAATATGTAAGACTCTTACCATTTGAGTTGCATATAACTTATATATATGTTTCGTATATTTATTTATATATTTCACCTACACATGCTTTAGGTGTATCCAACCACTAGTATAAAATAAAATAAATACAAACCCTACTCTATTATTTGTTCACCACATAGGGTTATCTTGAGGGCGTTACAGGAGAGGGTTTGAGAGAAGGAAAAAAGAAGAAGAAGTTACAATCAAAGAACTTTTGGGTGTGTGGTAGGGTTTTAACTTTCTTCTTTATTTTATATTTGTTCTTTATCCTTATTCTATTTTATGATTTAATTCATTGATGGAGAGGTTGTAGGTGTATGTAATTTGTGTATATATATATACTGTTAAGAAATCTGAGGAGTTAAATTCATGTATAATCAATGGTGTAATTCTTAGTCCAAAAATTCTGTACAAAATCACAAACTTTAAAAATCAAGAAACCATATCAAACGAATGAATTTTGA